CTCGAACCCGCGGGCTCAGGCAATCCACTCACCTCAGCCTCCCAAAGGCGCGAGATTACAGGCTGAGCCACTGAGCCTGGCTAGGACATGGTTTTGAATGAATGAGTGGGGCCTGCTAGGCCACATACACCACCCCCTCCCCACCCCCATCCACATAGCCCATCTCCTATCCACTCTCAGGCTCCTGAGCTCCTGCCTCAGCTGGATGACATGACTCCCCTCACCCTCTTGCAAGGGACTCCAAGCAGCCTCTCCATGAACATGCCATCATCATTTCCCAGGGAGCCCTCCCTGGCCACCAGACAGAATCAGAGCCTCCCAGAATTCATGGAATATTTGCAAAGTGAACACACACACGTAACACACACGTTTCAGACCCAGAAACCCCTTGTGCTCACGAAGTGCCTCATGTCCCTCCCTGTCCTGGCTCCACTTCTATCACCAGAGTCTGACTTTGAACCTTTAAAAAATGGAATCCTATAGCAGAGAATCTTTGTGTCTGACTTTGTATCCAGCACATTGCGAGAGTGCCCAGGTTGGGATGTGTGGCCATGGTGAATGGTTTGCACAGTATGTAGCTGGTTCTGTTTGTGGAGGTTGTTTCAGGTTGGGGCTCTTGCAGTAGTGCCACTCAGAACATTCTGGCATGTGTCTTTTGGTACACAGGTGGATGCATTCTGCTGGATATATGTCCAAAAGTGGAATTGCTGAATCTTGGGTGTATAGATTTTTTTCTTTTTCTTTTTTTCTTTTGAGTTGGGGGTCTCACTCAGGCTGGAGTGCAGTGGCACGATCACAACTCACCGTAGCCTCGACCTCCTGGGCTCAGGTAATCCTTCCACCTCAGCCTCCAGGGTAGCTGGGACTACAGGCACCCGCCACCATGCCCGACTAATTTGGTAACACTGTGCTTTTTGATATTTTGTAGAGACGAGGTCTTGCTATGTTGTCCAGGCTGGTCTTGAACTCCTGGGCTCAAGCAGTCCTCCCACCTTAGCCTCCCAAAGTGCTGGGATTGCAGGCATGAGCCACCACTCCTGGCCTTTTATTTTAAGGAGACAAAACAGCAAGGGGATCCCTTGAAGGGCTTGTGTGAGAAATGCCCCCTGGGTTCTGTTGTGCTTCTCCCTCAGGGTGTCAGAGGGACCCCTGTGCCGGGATCCCCAGGAAGTGGCAGCAGGTGCCCCGCCTGTCAGGGGAGCATGTCCAGGCAGGATGTGGAGGAGCTGGCCAACATAGGTAATGTATCTTTTCCCTCTAGCCACAACCTGATAGAAGACCACGTGTGCACATTTATTTGTAGTAGACTTCTTGTTTTTACAATTCCTTTATGCAGATTTAAATAAACTCTTGGGGACCAGCAGAGTCATCCTCCCAGGTTGCCTTGAGGCTTCAATGAGATAGCAGCCTCATTTCCTATAGGGCTTCCCTGGAAGGTGTCAGTTTCTGTGTCCCCATTTCACACATAAAGAAACTGAGGCTCAGAGGTACTGTTGCATGCCCAAGGGAACTGGGTGACAGGGCCAATCTGGGAGGAGCGTTCCACTTCCAGTGCCCGGGAAAGCCCTTTCCATGGAATCCTACCCGTGCTGTGCAAATGAGGGCAGTCACTGTCACTGTGCCGGTTCTCGGTGATTGTATTCATTTTCCTCAAGTGCAGGTTTCTCTTCCGGGTTCGAAATTACCAGAGGAAGGCTAGGCACCTCCTGAAGGCACCCAGCATGGGAGAAATGGTTTCCCATTCTGCATCTAGCATCCGCCCTTCACTCCCTGATGCAGGATGTCTTGATGTTTTCTTTACACTGCTTAGATTTACTTTCAAGGACTCCTGATTTTGCCCTCTGTTTACTGTCTTTGCTGTTTCAGGCTTGTGCAGTGATTAGCCACGGGCTGGCGTGGTAGCACAGTGGTAACGTCAGTTAGGGGAATGGAGGTGGGAAAGTCATGTGTGGGCCAAGTTTAGATGGGGCCCCACATCCTGGCACATCTTGTTCATCACTGTTGTGACCCCCATGTGCTGTAGCATTTTTTCTTTTTTTTTTTTTTAAGTCAGAGTCTCACTCTTTCACCCAGGTTAGAGTGCAGAGGCACAATCACAGCTCACCACAGGCTCCCCCTCCTGGGTTCAGGTGATCTTTCTGCCACAGCCTCCTGAGTAGCTAGGGCAACAGGTATGTACCACACACCCAACTAATTTTTAAATTTTTTTTGTAGAGACGAGGTCTTGCTATGTTGCCCTGGCTGGTCTTGAACTCTTGGCCTCAAGCAATCCTCCCACCTCAGCCTTTCAAAGTGCTGGGATTATAGGTGTGAGCCACTATGCCTGGCCTTTTGTTTTTTAATTGAGGTAACATTTATATAATATTAAGTTAACCATTTTAAGCCATTTTAAAGTGCACAATTCAATGGCATTCAGTCCATTCAAAATGGACTGAATCCAAGTGACTATCACTGTACTACGCAGTGCCAGGGCTCAGCTACCTCTCTAGTTCCAGAACATTTTCATCACCCCAATAGGAAAACCCGTGCCCATTAAGGTCGTCACCCCCCCCCCAGCCCTGACAACCACAAATCCATTTTCTGTCTATGAATTCGTTTGTTCTGGACATTTCCTTTCCATGGGATTATATAGTATGTGCTCTTGTGTACTTGGTGTCCTTCCCTGAACACCATGTTATCAGGTTCCTTCAGGTTGTGGCATGTGCCAGAATTTCATTTCTTTATGGCTGAGTATTCTTCCACTGTATGGATGGACCACACTTTGCTTGTCTGTTCATCCGCTGATGGATTCTGGTACCGTTCCCACCTTCCGGTTATGGCGAGTGGTGCTGCTCTAAACATGCGGGTACGTGTCTCAGGTTGAGTGCTCATTTCTGGTTTTCTTGGGCGTCCACCTAGGAGTGGAATTGCTGGCCATTTGGTGACCCTGTGCTTCGCCCAGAGGAGCTGCCCCCTGTTTTCCATGTGCTCTAGCACTGTGAACATTAGGATGCTTCCACAGGAGCCATGATGTGGGTGTCCCAGTGGCTGATGTGTAGGGCCACGGCGGGCTTCCAGGCGGGCTTCCCTCAGCAGATGTGAGCTGGCCCAGCTCCAGACTGACTGGCACGCTCCCCTCCCTCTCTGTGCCAGGCCACCCCCACCTCCATCTTTCTGCCCAGCCATCCCAGGAGCCTCCTGGGGTCCCTGGATAAGGCCCATGTCCTCACCATGGTTTGAGGCCCCATGGTCTGGCCTGACCTGGCCCTCACCCTTCCCCCGGTCTCCACACACTGGCCTTTGACCTCTCCCCACCCACAACGGGACTCTTCCCCTCTCTGGAGCACGACCTTCCTCACCCCCTCAATGTACGAATATTTGGCACCCATCCATCCTCAAGCTGTCAGCATGGATGTGGCTCCTGGGGAGGCCTCATAGCCCTTGGCTCCGAGGCAGGACCAGCTGTTTGTCTCCACTGCCACCTGATGCTGACATGGCCAGCCAGACCCACACCCTGGCTTGTCCTGGAAGAGTATGCCCCTCACAGGTCTCCTGTTCCCCTGACTCTGTCACCTGCGCTCCAGCAGCCAGAGAGATCCAGGAAGGCTCAAGTCGGGCAGTGCAGCCACCCCCTACTCAGGACGCCCAGTGGCTCTGTCACCCTCAGGGAACTGCCAGCCTCTCTTGCCTCCTGCCCTTGTCTCCTCTGGGCCTCTCTTCAGCCACCTGGCCTCCCTGCTGCAACCTCATAGCCTCTGCTCCACCTGGAATTCCCTAGTTTGAGAGAGGAAAGTTTGAGAGAGGCTCTCTCCTTCCTCTTCATGCCTCTGTTCCACCCTTACCCACAAGAACATGCATCTTCAAGGACTGGTGCTATGTGACTGAAAATAGTACAAAGGTTTTGTTTTGTTTTGTTTTGAGTTGGGGTCTCACTCTGACACCCAGGCTGGAGTGCAGTGGCATGATCATGGCTCACTGCAGCCTCATCCTTCTGGGCTCAGGTGATTCTTCTGCCTCAGTCTCCCAAGTAGCTGGGACTACACGTGCATGCCACCATACCTAGCTAATTTTATTTATTTATTTGTAGAGATAGGGACTCACCTATGTTGCCCAGCCTGGTCTTGAGCTCCAGGCCCCAAGCAATCCTCCCATCTCAGCCTTCCAAAGTGCTGGGATTATACAACAGCACAACAGGTTTATCTTACCTTTTTGTATGTTCCCTGAGGCTGAGGTCAAGATGTGTGCGACTGTGCTCCCTCTGGAGGCTCCGAGGAGACTCTGTTTCCTCCCCTTTGCCAGGACCCATCCTACCTGCAGCCGCCGAACATCTTTCCATCTCCATTGTCGCTCCTCCTTCTCTGACTTGGACCCTCTGCCCATTTCTCACAAGGACATCTGTGAATGCTCTGGGCCCTCTGCACCCGCGGGTTCCACATCTGGGGATGCAGCCAGCCTCAGATTAAAAATAGCCAGTGAAAAAAGCAATCAGAGTAATCTGATTCTGGAGTGACTGGCTGTGTGTCAGTCTCCCGGGGCTGCCGAACTAATCAGAAATTGGTGGCCTGAAACAATAGGAAGTTACTCTTTCACAGTTCTGGAGGCCGGAAGTCCAAAGTCCAGGCCACAGAGTTGTACTTCCTCGGAAGGTCCCAGGGGAGGATCTTTGCTGCCTCTTCTAGCTTCTGGGGGCTCCAGAAGCCCTTGGCTGTTGGGAGCATTGCTGCAGCCTCTGCCTCTGTGTTTACTGGCCTTTCCCTTATGTCCCTCCTCTTGGAAAGACACCAGTCATTGGATCTAGGGCCCACCCCATTCCAGCATGGCCTCATCTTAGCTAATTACATCAAGTCCCTGTTTCCAATTAAGGCCACATTCTGAGGTTCCAGGTAGACGTGGATTTTGGAGGGATTCTATTCAACACACCACATCCGGGGACTGAAGTCTACTCTAACCTTGAAATTCAAAGTTCTTGTTCTTTTTCCAGCTGAAGACATTTTTGTAAGAGCCTTGACTCGTTCATGAGAGGACCTCTCCTACAAAAGTGAAGCCTGGGAAAATAGCTCTTTCTTCCCACCTCCTATGGCAGCGACCCCATTTCTGCCTCCAGCCTCGGCCCACCCTGGGGTCTTTGGTAGCCTTGGCTTCCTGCCAGCTACCAGTGTCAGCATCTTCCAAGGAGGGCCTGGGTTGGAATTTGGAGCTGAAGGTTGGAGTTTAAGCCCATACCCTGCATCCAATTAGCTGTGTGAGCAAATCTGTGTGTAGCTTGGGCAAATCACTCTCCCTTTCTGAATCTTAGTTTCTATCCCTGTCAGAGTGGGGTAGTATTCAACCCCTGGGTCTCATTTTCTTCCCTTCATTGTGCTACACACTGGGTGGGCACATAGTGGGTGTACAGCTGAGTTGGGTGCAAGTAGGTGCACGATTGAGGTAGGGTGCATAGTGGGCATGCAGCGGAGATGGGTGACTGTCCTATATAAGGACTTCGGGAGGCTACCTAACTTCCCTCCTTACTTGGGAATACACTGACTTCCTTGAATCCACGTTGTCTGCCCTAGAGCTGCAGAGAGACGAGGAGGCAGCTGCTGTGCTGGGTGCAGTAAGAAGGACTTCGGCGGTGGCCATGGCTGCCCAGGACCCCACACTGAGCACGAGTCATCCATTCTACGACGTAGCCAGACATGGCATCCTGCAGGTGGCAGGTAGGTCCCTAGGATCGTGGATAGTGCCAACCTTCTTCTGGGCGCTGTGGGATGGAGTTAGCGCATCAGGGCTGCCTCACTGCATTTGTGCCCACAGAACGGAAACTACCCCTGAACAAGAGTGCCTGGCAGTTTTGAGAATGCAACTACACACTTGTCAGTGCACTGCCCACCTGCTCGGAGAAGCCCCGGGCAGCGTCCTGCCAGGTTTGTTTGATTCCTTAAAGACACTGTTGGGTTACAACTCATCTAAAACAACAGACTTCTGCAAACATGCAGGAGACAAGTGACCCCAGGCCTGGCAGTCAGTCAGGGGAGGACACAGTGCATCATGTTAGTTGAAGCCTGAGGACCAGGCCACGCAACCTGCACCTCACATGGTGGGGAATGAACCTTCCCCCTGTGTCCCTGCACCGGGCTCCATAGCCGTTGGCTATCACCTTTGAGGAGCCTGGAATCGTGTCATGGTAATGGACAGAAAGAGACATAGATCCCACACAGCTGAAAGCCCCAGAATCATGATAGTAAATACTTTAGTGTATGCCATACACAGGAGGGCTGGTGGGAGGGCAAGGGTTTGATGGGCGTTAGTCATTGGAAGCCCCAAATGCCTTTTTTAAAAAACTTAAGGTTTAGGTGGGAGGCATGCTAGACTAAATGCAGGGAACATGGGTTGCAGACCAGTGCCCACAAAAGGAAGGCCAGAGGCTGGGCGCAGTAGCTCACGCCTATAATCCCAGCACTTTGGGAGGCCAAGGTGAGAGGATTGCCTGAACCCATGGGTTCAAGACCAGCCTGGGCAACTTGGTGAGACCTCATCTCTACAATAAATCAAAAAAATTAGCCGAGCATGGTGGCGTGTGCCTGTAGTTCCAGCTACTTGGTAGGCTGAGGCGGAAGGATCGCCTGAGTCCAGTAGGTCAAGGCTGCAGTGGCCATCAGCATGCCACTGCACTCCAGCCTGGGTGACAGTGAGACTCCAATTCAAAAAAACAAAAAAAAAACAACAAAAAAGGAAGGCCAGAAATATAGCTACTTTTTATAAGATATAACACATGTTCTTTATGTTGACATGCAATAGGCTCATTATTCTTTTTTATTTTTTTTAATTTATTTTTATTTTTATTTTTTATTTTTTTTGAATTGGAGTCTCCTCTGTCGCCCAGACTGGAGTGCAGTGGCCGCTCCTGGCCACTGCAGCCTCGACTTGCT